AACCCTAAAATCAACTCCACAATCACACAAAACTAAATAAAAAAAAATAAAAGTACATAAATTCGAACTAAATCTATGAAAACCCTCACTTTTAATGACAACAACTAACCTTTCAACTCGTCAGTGAGAGGGTTGGTGGAATTTCAAGTCGCCGGTGAGATGGGTCGGTGAAAGGAGAGTCGCATGTGAGGAATTTTCCTTTTAACAAAGTGAGGGTATTTTTTGACTTTTTCGAAGTTAACCTACATTTTGACTTTTTTTTTTTAATTTCATTTCCTAGTTAAAAGTCACTTTGAAAATACACTACTGCAAAAGTTATTTTCATGTATTTCCTCCAGTTCTATTTATGAATTCAGAAAACAAAAAAATTGAAAGACAAAACATATATACTTCTTGTTATTGTTTTTTTTTTTAATTTATTACAACTTCGATTAATGTTTCTTGTTGCACGAACAAACCTTGGATGGAGATGGTGAACCGTGAGGCGGCGCAACCTTCAAAAGAATTGCTACCGGAGCGGCGGCATTACCTTCCACTGATGTGCGGTCGGAGATGGTAAGGCATGGGGAGGGTTTTCGCCGGTGCGGGTTTCGATTTGAGAGAAGATGGAGTGTGTGGTGTTTGATTTGGGAGAAATCGAAATGGAATGGGTCTTCAATTGCATTTTTTGATTTTTTTTAATTTTTAATTTTTTAAATGGTTGCCACGTCAGCCTGGAAATAACCCCGGTCCATGTTTGTGTAGCTGAATCGATAAAAAAATTCACCCTTACTTTCGATCCCCAATTCACTCTTACTCCGAATCGAAGCCCTGGAAGAACCCTAGAAATCGATATGCACAAATCCAAATTCTATTGAAGGCTGGAAAGAACCCAAGTGTCCACCTAATTCGATTTGCGAAGAAGGGATTTAAACCCAACCACTTTCGCGCATGGTGAAGGTAATTCCAAGTTTACAGGGCTGTGAAATATTCTCCTATGTTGCATTTATTTGTTTCAATAAGGTTGAAGGAAATGCTGACATGTTTTAACTGCTCTTTTGATTTTTTCTGATATCAAATTTCGGAGTGATTTAGCACATCTAATGATTTTCATTCAAAGTATTTTTTGTCATTCCCTTTTATCTTTGACTTGTAAATTGAGGTGCAGGCTATTTGATTGACATTTTAGTACAAGATGAAGTCACGTCAATCTGTTATTTAATTTCGGCTTTATTCTTGTCTATGTTCAAAGTCGAATTTGACATTATGCATTACATTACATCCCATTGTTTATTTTTTTGTTTTCTTCTTCACTTTTGTTAAACTGGAATTGGCATTTTCGAGGTTGGCATCAAATATATCGGTAGCATTCATTTCTTGTGCCATTAAATAACCAAAATGATTGAAATATTTCTTGAGTTGAGAACAATGAGAAGAATGGTAACATGTTAGTTTCTGATGAATATGCATGAAAATTTTAGAACCGGGGGCATTAAAATAGGGAAGCTTTATTACGAAGAATGGGTCAATTTTTAGAAGAAATGAAACAGATTTATCAATAACAAGAATGTTGACTTGTGATGAAGCAAAATTGGAATTGGAATCGGAATTGGAATTTGGCTTGTTTTAATTTGCAAATCAATTAAAAGGTAGATGAAATTTGTTATGAATTCTTGGAACTTTATTCGCTAAAAGATTAACTTATTTGGAGTTTGATTATTATAGTTTACACCTTTCCCATATTTGAAGCGTTATGGTGGGCAAGAACAAGGGCATCTGTCAAAGTTTTAGGAAGTCCACGTTCATCAATACCCCCAAACAGCCACCCCACCCCTCTTTCTCCCTCTTCTTCGCCGCTGCAACACGCCGTCTCTTTCAAGGGCATTACAGACGGCATCATTTCACCCAACATTTCTCGAGGAGACATGCAACCTGTAAGTCTTCTAATTACTTTCCTATTATGTTTAATCTTTTACTGTTAAGTTTGATTTGTGATTATGTTATTGGCAATATTTGAAATCTCAGCTCTTAATAGCTACAGAAGAATCCCATTTTCTTCTCCGAATATTAAACGGCAGCTTCCAAACCCTCGACTTGTTAAAAGATCAGATTTCGCTTATTTTTACTGATTTTTTCTGCTCGAAATCCAACCTCAACTTAATTAACCCAATGTAAGTAATTATCTTTTTATTTTATTCAAAAATCTGGAATTTTTATTTTTTTAGTCAGTTTATTGAGTGTGTGGAAATAGGAGTGTAAATGCCGACCAAAATGAGCCAAGGGCAAAAGAGTGGTTGTCAGAAAAGAAGGAATTCTCGGATGGGAAAGGGGAGTCTGGCGGCGCAGTTTTTAATGCATTGGATGCAATGTTAAAGTCCAGTTTGAATCGTTTAAAAGACATGAGGTTGGTTTGGTAATTAATTGCTTGCTATCTTACTGTTTTTTTCTTTTTCATATTATTTTGTCAGCCTGTTCTTCTCCAGTTTTTCGTGATATTTGTTAGAGAAATATTTGTTTCTGATGAAAATAAGACTGCATAATACAAAAATTGCATTGCTCGTGAATCGGGATTATTTAATATTTGATTAGGTGTAGTTTTAGCATTTATAATCTAATGGATTTTTTGTCTTCAGATTTTAATTATGTGTTTTAAGTGCTCAACGTAATTTCTAAGAATGCAGAAACTTATATCTTACACCAATGGCAAAAGCAAAGGAGGGGTGGGAGTGGTCAGCTTTCAACTTCAAGAATTCTTTATATTGTAGAGACTTTCAACTTTTTGTAATGTCATTGTGAAACATTGTATGAAACATGATCAGAAAGGAAACAATATTGATGAGAAGAGAATGACATGACTGAAAAAGGTGTTGAATAGTCATTCTCAGGGAGTGAAGACGGGGTGGGTGCAGCATCTTATAGCCTACCTTCATCAAGATTATATCTGTGTGGACATGTGTTAGTAACACTCATTTTCTGCAGCTCTAGCTTTTCCCTTGAATAATTGACTCAAATCACTTCAATCTGGACCACCTTCAACTAGCCATTTTAGTTTGTGAGTACGAAACTGAAGATTCAAAATGTTTTTTAATTAATTTAGATCACTTTTAATTCATTTATCTACATACAAGTTTTTTCCTTTTGTTTCTTTTTACTGATCAAATAATTTGGTTTTTTTCCTGTGAGGGAATTAGTCAGAGGATAGGGGGATTGTAATAGTATATGGGGGCATTGTAATAGAGGATCATATGAAACTTAATGTCGGTGACAAATTTTATGAGTAAGATCTTAATATTTAGTTATTAATACGTATGATTTTTAAATGATTTCTGGAATTCTGCAGGGAAAGCATATCTTGGGGCCATAGTGGCACCATACCTGAAACAAATTATTGTAAGGATGTAACTGTGATAAGAGCTTCGTGTTTGCAAGGTAAAGTAGGTGCAGCTTTCCATCTTTGGAATAAGATGGTTCAGAAATGTGCAATTCCTGATATTCTCACGCACAATTACCTTATGAATGCACTTTGCAAAAGTGGTGATCTGGGAAGGGCAGAGTGGCTTGTTACCGAGATGTTAGACCGAGGTCCTTTTCCCACTTGTGCTACCTACAACACGTTAATGAAGGGTTATTGCATTAGGAATAATGTGGATAAAGCTCTGGATCTTTTTTCTACCATGGCTAGTCATGGGATTACACCAAACATAGTTTCATGTAATATTCTCGTTGATGGACTTTGCAAGAAGGGTTTGTTGGAGGATGCCAGAAAGCTTCTTGAGAAAATATTGGTTGATGATCATGATGGAAAAACCTCAAATATGATAACCTCGACTATCCTAATGGATGGTTACTTCAAAACTGGAAATATGGTTGAAGCCCTCACTTGTTTGGATGAGATATTCCAAATGGGCACAAGGATGGATGTCGTTGCATATAATGTCGTCATACATGGATTTTGTTTGAATGGACACATGAGCCAAGTGTATAAGTACTTAAGTGAAATGTTTAAATGTGGTTGCCTGCCAGATGTGTTTACATACAATATCCTTATTGGCATGCTTTGCAAAGAAGGAAAGACAAATGAAGCTTGCTACGTCTTTAACGTGATGCCAAGAATGGGGGTGACCCCTGATCACATCACATACAAAGTGTTAATTCAAGGTTTGTGTATTAGTGGAGATGTAGACAAAGCTAATGGTTACCTTCATTGCATGTTAGAAAATTCAATTATACCTGAGCCACTCATTTGGAATGTCATAATTGATAGCTATGGGAGGCATGGAGATATACAAAAAGCTTTCTGTGTGAGAGACCAAATGGTTACATTTGGTGTTCTGCCCAATATATATACATATAATATCATGATTCACACAGTAATAAGAAATGGAAATATTGATGATGCTCATTATCTGAAGAAGGAGATGCTCTTAAATGGTCCTTTTCCTGATTTAGTTACTTACAATCTGTTGGTGCGTGCTGCTTGTAATCTTGGCCATATTAATTCTGCATTCCGGCTGCATAATGAAATGGTGAGAAGAGGGTATGATCCAGATATAGTAACTTACACTGAATTGCTCAAGTGTCATTGTCTGAGAGGTAAATTGAAGGAGGCAGAAGAGCTCTTTATCAAGATATGGGAGTCAGGTTTACCAATTGATCATGTTCCATTTTTAATACTCATGAAGAAGTACTTCAAGATGAGAGAGCTTGACAAAGCATATGATCTTTATCAAATGTGGTTAAAGAGGGGAAGTTGAAAATAGCTCTATATCAAGGCACAGTGGTCAGGTGTACCTGTTGATCATGTTCTATATCTAATACTCATGAAGGAGTACTGCAAGACGAGAGAGAGGGAGATAGAGCACTTGACTTATGAGGGAAAATGAGAATACTGTCATTGTGCATTGATCATTTCTCAGTTTTCTGATCCAGAATGTCTGCAGTTGTTCACCAATTTTTTCTAGTTTTAAGTGGTAGAAGCTTCCTGCAGTTATGTTATGGCTGGGATCGGCTTTTGGAGGTATAGTCTTTATTTCTGTTCTTTTCTCTCCTTTTGCAAGTTTTAATATTGTAACTCTCTCTCTCTCTCTCTCTCTTTATATATATATATATATGTTATTGCATTAATATTTCTATTGAATATTAGAAGGTTTCTTATTCAGATAGCCTTTTCCTTCAGCATCAAGTGCTGAGAGTGAATTGGGATTTTCGTTTTTCTTCTTCTGTAAGAAATTTAGCATTTTGCTATGTATGGTTCATTGTCTGATACTGTTTACAGAAATCTTGACTCAAATATATTCTATGTGAGCAATCTTTCTTGTGTTTTATGTGTAGGGTGATTTAAAAGATATATGTTAGATAACGAGGAATTTCATTTCAACTTGATAATATTAATGTTGATAATTATTAGATCACTCACGTTTTCTTTTTTAATAAATGATATTAATATTAAAGTTGACATATCTTGATCAATCATTGAATTATATATTAGATGATATATAAGGATGCAATCTCGTGATGAAGATCGTAGTTCTTCAAATGACAAGTTTTTGCTTCACTTCACATTTCATGCTATAGAAATTGTGCATTGAATTTTTTGCATATTTCATATATTTCTTATCAAATGTATAATCAGCATTTTATTTCTCTTACCATTTTCTCCTTGTTAGTTCATGAACTTAAAACCCTGCTTGTTTGACATTCTTAATGGTTGAGCATGCCCCTTAACAGGGCTTGCAGCATCCCATGTAGAGATCATGCCTGCTGATGTATGCCTATGAATGATGAGCCTTGTGGCTGGTGAGCAAGATACGGAAAACTGGAAGGAAAATATGTAAGAGTTCTTATTCACTGGTCAATGTGCGGTTTGGGAGATCTTATTTTATCGAGAAGATTGCATGTTAGAAACCAGACATATCCCTTATCCTGTACCCAATGGAATTTCATTTAGCCTGCTTTGGGCAAGGCGCGAGTTCACATTATTGCTCAATAATCTCTTGCCACTCCAGGCTTGGTACCAACTATTAGGATTAGAAGCTAGATGATCAAGCCTTCTATACAGCAGTAAGTTAATGGGCATTACACGTGGAAAACACTGAATTTTCATTTGTTTTCTTTAACTGTAATTGCTGAACGGTGATGTGCTTTTCATTGTTTTCCTCGGGAGCTATGTGACTTTTTCACTTGAAGGATGACTGCAATTCAAGACCTGGGCATAGTGTAAGATTCTGTTCCATAAAACTTAACTGGGAATAAATCTCAAAAAAATTTAAGTTTGAGCGTCTCGCCGAGCTTAAAAGTAATTTTATTTCAGAACATGTTTGGTTATTGTATTATTTATTTATTATTATAATTATTTTTGTTTGTCTTTTGCAAATGTAGCTAAGCTTTCACTTGTTAAGTAGATGAATAAATTTTAAGATAAATAAATATTTTGATCGAAAGTTGGCATATGTTACATTACATGTTTCGGTAGTAGCCAGTTAAAAAAGTAACATATCCAAAGAGATTTAGAAGCAAAAAATTGTTACAAATTCATCTTGTCCTAGTTGATTAAGGATCGTTGTTTCTACAATTGAGGCTTCACTCCAAAAAATTATTTTACTTATTTTAAGGTTACTCAAAGATGCAAGTAAAAAGAGTTGTTTATCTTAAAAGTAATTTTCTACTGTCAAAGTAACTTTTTTCTAAAACTTGATCAAAGAAATTTTTGATGGATAAACTTATTAGGAAAATTGTACTTTCTCTTACAAAAATCATGGAAAATTTAGGACGGCATTCTTCAACCTTTTTATGTGGTACGGTTATGTTTGGTCAACCTTCAAACGTGTGATTTTGGGTTGTTAACTGATTTAAATATGTAAATTTTGATCTCAACATGACGGAAATTGGATGTAAAATCAGCGAGACTTTCGTATCCATAAACAGTTTGATAGTATTGCTCTTCAAACTTTTGAGTCACGTAAAAGTTACGTGCAATTTATCGTTTACAATGAAGGTTTAGATCTCGTGAGAATCCAAATTCATTGTACCAGTTTGGTGGCCTAAAAATTTTGAAAACATAGTTTTAAATAGTATTTTTTTGGACAATTTGTGATTGATAATGATTGAAAAGTTTCAAATTTACGTGTAGAATATTTTATTGTGAAAATATGTGATTGATAACGATCTTGTAGCAAGATTAAATTAAACTAAAGGTTATCAAACAAGTCCTAATTTAAGTAGGTTGGGAACTAGATCCTCACGCTGCTACGTAAAAGATTGAAAGCAATGTCCTAATTTACCCAACATCCTTGTCGGGGTCCATTATTACACGACCCATGCTGGAACGAGGATAGCCACGCATCTCTTAGCTCACGTCCTTTTGATTTTGACACTGTACATCTACAAATTTATGACTCGTTTTCTTTTCCGATCTTCATCCTTATCCTATTTCGACCTCAGTTATGTGCTGGCTGCCGACCATTGGAAACAATTTCTTTTTAAACTAATTTTAAGGATGATTTTCTATTGAATGTTTTTATAAAAGTAGTATCAGCGTGGATTATAAGTGTTTGACGATTCTCTATATGGAAGAGATAACATGAGGAGGACAACTTTTAGTAGAAACGCAGGTATCGTGGATTGTAACGACTACTTTTGTGTCACATATAGTTCATGAAAGGTCTACTTGTGAGATAATTGAATTCGTATTCTTCATTTCTTGAAGAATGATAGATCGAGCGTCGAACTACGTTTCCACTACTCGTCACTCCTTTGATTCTTGAAATAGACCTACCAACTGAAATCGTGGATGAAACCATAACTAGGATTGAAGTGAAGAAATTATGAAACGAGAACGGGGGAAGCAAAAGAGAGTCAAGAGATACAAGTACAAGGCTTCCCACTTGATTTGGTCCATGTTTGTGTTTTCTAGAAATAACTCCGTGTGCTTGAAACGTGTTCAAGTTCTTAAAAAAAATCCTTGTAATTTTTAATTTTTGTCCCCACGATTAATTTTTTTTACAATTTGACCCCCACAAACTTTTTCTTATAGCTTCACCCCTAACCATATTCTTCTTTGAAGCTAAAAAGAGAAAAGATTGCTTTTATACAGATAAGAAAAAGGTTCACGGAATTGTTCGTGGAGAAGCATCTTTTTCTCATCGTGGGAGAGGATAAAAAAAGTGCATGTGACATTGGATCTTGTGAACTTCCAATTTGACCACTACCCGTCCTTCTATAAAGTTGGTTTTAAAATTTTCTAATAGTTGGACAATCAATTTTTAACCATTAAAAGATTATATATTAAATTGATACATAATCTTGGTGAATTATTTATACTTGCAATAAATAAATATTTATTCCTACAAAATTGAAAATAAGATTTTATACAAATTTGAATTGATAAGTGTAGAGTTGATTAAAGCAACATGAGATTGTCCAACATTGGTGGTCCATAATCCACATGTGGATATGTGGACTATAAAACATTTTGGCCATTGTCCAATGGTCAAAAATTGAGGCGATAAGAGGAAATTAAGTTCTAAGAATAATAATAAAAGGATTTCTCCGCTTGTACACAAGTAGAGCTACTAGAATTTCACCGGATACTGATGTGGGCATGTGGCAGCATCATTATCGAATAAAAAATTGCCAAGTGTATTCTGGCAAAATTCTGACAGCATTTTTCTTTACACATAACGGGGTTGATAATAAAAAAAAGTCATTGATTCGACATATTAAGCATAATTAAACACTATTCATGTTCTACACGCATTAAACACATATTGTGTTGAGCTTGACATGAAGTTCAAGATGGGTCAAAGAAATGCAGCTCATTTAAGTTTGACAGAAACTATTTAATTCTAGCAATGTTCTAAAATGCGAGTCTAGGAGGCACTTAGTTTTTTGCATTTTATTAAAAAAAATTCCATTTTTTATAGTTTTAGATTTTTGGCATATATTATTTTGATTATTAAATGATTTTTAGAATTATTAAAAATTTAAGATAATATTAAAAATAAGAATACACCGTTTTACTTCCCGATCTCGCCGAGATGGGTAAGTTTGAAGCTTGACATCCAATTTATTCACGTTTTACGTTTTTTAGAATACTGATATTTCGAGATGAAGACTTCAACTCAATTTATGTACTTTAAAAGTCAAGAGATCACCTCTATTTTTGCTTTCAAGTATGAATAAAGGAATATCATAAACCAACCATAAAAAATACAAATATAAACATATATAGCCTGTTTGGTGAAGACTAAAATTAATTTTTTTTATTGATTTTGATAAAATTTAATGAAATATATGGTTAAAAAATTGTGAATTCTATAAAATATGTGATTACAATTAATTATTAAATTTAATTTAAATTAAAATTTAGATTTTAATTTGTATCAAACATGAGCAAACCCAAAATTTGTCCTTTAAACCTTTTAAAACAAACTTGGAATATATGGTTTTCTGAATATAAATAAAGTCAAATTAATCCAAACTGGACCACAAATTTACAAAAATACACACTTATGTACATAACTAGCTAGCATTTCTTAGATGCCTTTCCCACTTCCACAACTAGACAAATACTCCCAAGTCCCACCCTTATCCCTCTCCAGCCAAGGATTGGTATGAAAAATTCACCCCCTTGGCTTTCGTTTCGACGCTTAGATATCATAGAAGAAATTTTGTACGATATTTACAGTTGTGTTGATATGAACTCTAATCGTCGTTTCATTTCGAAAAACAATCCAAAGACACTCGTTATCATATTTCGAATGCCCTACGAAGTGTTCATACTCTTTTGGAGTGTTTGTGAAATGTTTTTAAAAGTTCAAAAGCTTTACTTGAGACTAAAAGCACTTTCACTTAAAAATATGAAAGGGCCGTTTCGATTTGTGTTTTAATTTTCAGTTTAGAGTTTTGAATTCATTTTCGATTTTAATGATCTAGTTTAAGATTTGTAAAATTTGATTATTCACTAAAATAAAACAATTTTATGTAAATATATTATCAAGTAATATATGCATATGTGTGTTCATTTAAATGAATATTGTAATTTTTTTTTTTAAATAATCAATTTTAGAAATTTTTAGAAATTTATTTTTCTAGGGAATTTTTTTTTTTTTTAGAATTTTATATTTTTGTTTTTGGAATTTTATTTAAACACCTATTTGGCATCTTTAAAACTAAAAATTGAAAACAACAAATCAAATGCACACAATTACTTAAAAATACAAAGCGAAACTAGTGGAGCATGTTCGGTAAGTGTTTATATATATAAAAGTTAATAGTGCTAATAAGTCCCTCATATATGAATAAAAAATATTTGAGTACTAATAAATATGCTATAAATATATGCTAAAATTTAACTTGCATTAACCCTCCAAAGTCCAAATTGCGATAATTTTCAATAGTTTACACCAAATTTGGTGTAATTTGATTTTTCCTCTCCAATAGTTGCACCGACTTTTATACAAAATTTGGTATAAATCATTGGAGACCATTTTACACTAATTTTTATTTGAATTATTTAATTACAAATTATATTATTCTGAAAATTGTTAAATTAGAAATTATATTAATTAACTAAACTATTGCATCTATTAATAAATCAAAAAAATATTACCGCAAATTATTATAATATATTGAACACACAAGGAAAATTACAAATAGCGAGAAAAGACCTTTCGGAATACTAAATTATTATTTTAGTTAAATGTTGTATTGTACTTTAGGCCTTGTATGGGAAGGATTAAAATCGGATTAAAATTGAAAATATAGCCGTTATTGTTGACTTTTATTAGACGAGTGGGACCCAATAACGGCCATATTTTCAATTTTAATTGGCTTTTAATCCCTCCCGAACAGGGCCTTAATTTATGTTTTTAATATATTTATGTTGTTCTAGTGCTAATTTATTAATTATCAAATTTGTAATTTTTGATTTTTTAATGAATGATTTTTATTTATTGTTGAAATAATTAGTAATTATTAATTGATTAAAATTTTAAAATAAATGTGAAACAAAATTAGTCTTCAAATTAAAATAATTATAAATTTATTAATACTAAAATATTAAAGATAACAAATTTTGTAAAGTGAAAATAATGGCAAAATGGGGTTAATAAAAGTTCTTATATCTACTGTAAATGAATAGTGTTTTGCACTATGGGCTTGTTTGAGGCACATTATTTTGGAAGAAATATATTTTGGAATAGTAGATTGATGGAGAATGTGTGGTTGAAAAAAACGAAAAAGTTGTTGATGTGATAGAAAATATTATGTGGAAATTACAAATTCTAATAGATTTCAAGTTCTCATTTCATAATTCAGATGGCATGTTTAATATTTCCAAAATCAGAAGTTTTATTTTAATTAGTATTTTTATAAAATAAATATATTTAATAAATATATATACTTCAATACACACATCACAAACCCTAACCCCACAACCTGTCACCTCCTCCCTCCTCTCTACATTCCTTCCCCTTTCTCTCTACATTTTCACCCATCGCCCCCTGTCGTCTACGCCCAACCATCATCACGGCTACTCTCGATTCTCACATTCCTCTTTCTTTACACCCGCAGTCTTCGCCCACTGCCGCAACGAGCGCTACTCTCTTGGCCGTGACGAGCTTTGGTGCGGCGACACTACGAAGTCGTCACAACAATGATCTGAGCGCCGACATATGGTGGAGGTGGTCGATCTGTGGTATGTGTTTTGATTTGTACTCCAGCCAAGGATTGGTATGAAAAATTCACCCCCTTGGCTTTCGTTTCGACGCTTAGATATCATAGAAGAAATTTTGTACGATATTTACAGTTGTGTTGATATGAACTCTAATCGTCGTTTCATTTCGAAAAACAATCTAAAGACACTCGTTATCATATTTCGAATGCCCTACGAAGTGTTCATACTCTTGTGGAGTGTTTGTGAAATGTTTTTAAAAGTTCAAAAGCTTTACTTGAGACTAAAAGCACTTTTACTTAAAAATATGAAAGGGCCGTTTCGATTTGTGTTTTAATTTTCAGTTTAGAGTTTTGAATTCATTTTCGATTTTAATGATCTAGTTTAAGATTTGTAAAATTTGATTATTCACTAAAATAGAACAATTTTATGTAAATATATTATCAAGTAATATATGCATATGTGTGTTCATTTAAATGAATATTGTAATTTTTTTTTTCAAATAATCAATTTTAGAAATTTTTAGAAATTTATTTTTCTAGGGAATTTTTTTTTTTTTTTAGAATTTTATATTTTTGTTTTTGGAATTTTATTTAAACACCTATTTGGCATCTTTAAAACTAAAAATTGAAAACAACAAATCAAATGCACACAATTACTTAAAAATACAAAGCGAAACTAGTGGAGCATGTTCGGTAAGTGTTTATATATATAAAAGTTAATAGTGCTAATAAGTCCCTCATATATGAATAAAAAATATTTGAGTACTAATAAATATGCTATAAATATATGCTAAAATTTAACTTGCATTAACCCTCCAAAGTCCAAATTGCGATAATTTTCAATAGTTTACACCAAATTTGGTGTAATTTGATTTTTCCTCTTACACCGACTTTTATACAAAATTTGGTATAGATCATTGGAGACCATTTTACACTAATTTTTATTTGAATTATTTAATTACAAATTATATTATTCTGAAAATTGTTAAATTAGAAATTATATTAATTAACTAAACTATTGCATCTATTAATAAATCAAAAAAATATTACCGCAAATTATTATAATATATTGAACACACAAGGAAAATTACAAATAGCGAGAAAAGACCTTTCGGAATACTAAATTATTATTTTAGTTAAATGTTGTATTGTACTTTAGGCCTTGTATGGGAAGGATTAAAATCGGATTAAAATTGAAAATATAGCCGTTATTGTTGACTTTTATTAGACGAGTGGGACCCAATAACGGCCATATTTTCAATTTTAATTGGCTTTTAATCCCTCCCGAACAGGGCCTTA